AGCCAGCCCCCTGGAAGGGCATAAGTTCAGCTAACTCCACTGCAGAAAGCCCAGCCCACCTTGCAGGGCCTGGATTTCTCTCCATTATACCAACATGCCAAAAGAGGTTGTGAGCCTCCTGGCACAAGAGAACTGAGCTTCTTTTGAAACTCAAGCTTTGTATGGTCATGGCTGGAGCTCTTGTTCCCTCCCCGTGAGCTCGGCACCCTCTCGGCCTCGGTGCTGCATGTCAGGCTCCCACCTCACCGTTTGGCCCGTGCCCAGCGATCCCCTTGTGTGTGGATGTGGCAGATGTCAGTGGCTGTCAGTGCAGAGCAAGCGGCTTTTCTGCAGCCACTTGGGTCAATCTGAGACGCTGAGCAAGAGTGGCTGCATATTTTGGGCACCAAGGAACGCAAGCAGGCCCATGTTTGGGCAGCTGGCTTGTCAGGCCCCAGTCCTTTCGAGAGGGGGGTGGATGTGTGTGCATCACATCCATGCTTCCAGTGAAACCCGGTTTCTTCTTCCTAGGAGCCCCCCTGAGCCTTCTTGCTGAAGGAAGGGCTCCTAGAAAGACAAAATGCAAATGGCTGTTGCAGTCCTGCGTCCCTGCTGGGTCTCCTGGAAGCTGTCTGCCCGAGGCTGCGAGACAAGACGCAATACCCTTTCCCAGCATGCAGCTCTGACCTGACCTGACTCGCGGCTTCCCTGTGGGAATGGAGCTTGCAGAAGTGGCTGACGACACCCCGCGTCGTCTGGGGTGCTGTGGGCAGTGCCCTCTGACTGTGCTCTGTCCCTCTGAGCTGTCTCTGGTGTGGACGGCTCAGATTCGGCTTAGGAAGCCGGTCCAGAGTTCTGCAGGGAAATGGGTGAATCCAGACATGCTAAAAACATGCTAGCAGGCAAGGAGGTTTGCATGACTCTGCAGGCTCCCCTTCTGCCTGGGGCAAAGTGGGGACAGTACAGCGGTGTCTTTCTTGGGATGCTAAACCATGTCTTGCCCCTCTTCCCTGCTCTGAGCTAAGAACAGCACTTTTCCTTCCTCTCCAAGTCATGGGTGCTAAGCCTCATCCTCAGCCTGCCCAGCGGGACTCAGCAAGCTTTTAGAGACGGCGCCAATAGTCCTCTTGGGTTCAAGTGCCACTGGAGGCCTCTGGTCCCTGAATCTCTCTCATGCTTCCTCCAGGGCCTTCTCCCTTGGGAGAGTGAGGCAGGCTGAGCCATGACCCAGGGACTCGGATACTTGTGGCCTAGCATTGAGGCCTCCATCCTACCACCTAATGCAGAACCCACCGTTTCTGAGACCTCTGCATCCCTGCTCCCTCCCTCCGACTGCCCGCCCTGTTGGTCCAGCCTTGCCTGAAGGGTAGAGTGGAGTAGTGGCTAGAGCACTAACTGATGCTCCGTGATGTGCGTCCGGTCGCTGGCTTGCTGGGTGACCTGGAGAGAATCGTGCCTCCATTTCCCCATCTGTCTCATGGTGATTGCGACCTCCTTTGGGAAGGACCGGGCGTGTAGGCTAGATCCGCTGCCTGTTCCCTGGGGCACTCTGAAAAGGGCTATTTAAGAGCAGGGGTCATTTGCTTGAAAAGCCTTATTTAGTATCTGGGCCTCTCCAGCTGATATATAACACTCCCTCCTCTTGGCCCTGGCTGACAAGGGGCCTCTTTGCTCAGAGGCTTTGTAAATAGCCCTGAGCTCAAAACAGAGAGATTTGCCTTCCTCCCCAGTATGGGGCAAAACCTCTTTCTTCCATGCTGTCCAAGGCAGGGGCCATGACTTGCTTGCATCCATCTGTCCCACCAAGTGTCTTACCCTGCTGCAGCAGAGGCCCCCACCCTGTTCTTCCAGCCATTCACTTGGCTGAGAAGAGTGGGGAAAAGATCTCCCCAGTGAACAAGCCGCATTGCAAAGCCAAGCTGTGTGCAAAGCCTGTAGGAGCATCAGTCGTGTAATCTGTCTGTGCAGTGACATCTCCAGAGAAGGCCACAAGCCTGGTGCGTGGCCCAGACGCAACCCACTGCTGTCCTGACGGTGATTCCTAATTGCACTGACTCCTCCGCCTGTCTATGGCGGAAGCCCTTGGAAGAAGACCATTTCAGCCTGGATGACTTGAGCAAGGAGGGCTCTGGGCCATGCCTGGCATCCTAGCAGCAGAGCATCCTAGAGCTCCTTGGCTGGGGCTACTGCAGCATGGGGGGAGTGGAGCCACCATCCTACAAGGGCTCTGCAGGGAGGCTGCTTGAGGCTTGAGTCCAGGTCTCCCTTGGCATGCAGGCCAGGTGGGCCCCCTCTTTCCAGGGGCACCCTGCCACGGTTCTGCCGGCTGGTCTCCAAGCAAGGGAATCGGTTGAGGCAATTCGTGGAGGTGGCTGGTAAATGGAGTTGCCCCTCAGCAAATCCCCATTCACAATTTTTTCTTCCTTCCTTTGCTCATCGTCAACCCAAGACTTTCCCAGCCAGGAGAGGCCGAGTTGAGGGGAGCCTTGAAGAGGCAATGGAAGACAGTCCAGGGATGTTACTGTTTGCCCTCACCCTAATTGCAACCCAGGGTCCTGCGTATCTGGGTGCAGCAGTGGTTACAACCTTTTTAGACTACAGGCATCCCTGGATAGATCAGAGACACCCCATGGAAAATGTCAGCTCTTTATTCTCGCTTGTTTTTTGCCTACAGAAAAATAGAGCGGCTTTTTTTGTTGGAAAAACTCAAAAGGACCGCAACAGGTCGAAATATTTTTAACGCGGTGGATTCCTGTTCGAAAGCACTGGGTTTACCTTGCGAGCTGTGTTTGCACACCTAGCAGGGGTGACGTGGTGTGCACCCCACAGTGCCAGGGTTGAGAAGGGCTGGCTTCATTCCTCTAAGAAGTAAATGGGACGGCTGGAGACTGCGTGGGAGCAAGCAGGAGCCTGGTGCCCCAGCCATGGTGTGGGAGAACTCCCACAGCCAGAGCTTGGGAAATAACCTCGTTAGGGAGGAGTTGGGTGGGTTTTGGACTGACGGCTCCTCTGTAACAGCGCTGCGTGGCTGATGCCAAGTGCCCTGCAGGGCTGGCTCCTACCCCATTATTTAGACCAGGGGCAGGTGAAATATGGCCTGCAGGCCAGATCCAGCATGCCAAGGGATTTTATCTGGGCTGTGGCGGGTCCCTTGGCTGGCCCAGGTGCTGGGGGGCAGCCTGGGCTGTGGCATGTCTGCCCGGTCTTGTCTCCACACCGCCCCGGGTGCACAGCAAGGCTGGGGTGGCATGAGGGCCAGACTCTGCTTCCTCGCAGCCCTATGGGTGGTGGTTCCTTCCAGCTGCCTGTCAACCCTGCGCCCCCCGCCACAGGTGCCAGATACAGCAGGCGGGCAGGGTCTCCATTGAAACTGGCCCAGGACCCCCGCGGGCAGGGCACGCTCACCTGGGCGGTTGGGATGGAGCTGTGGGATGGACGGGGAGCAGCATCCAGGGCCGGGACTGGGATTGCAGCCCCATCCCATCCACCCAGCTGAGTGTGCCCTGCCCGCAGGGGGTCCCGGGCCGGCCTCCACAGACACCCCTCCTGCCTGCTCCGTTTAGTAGCCTACCACTTAGGAGGTTTTGGGGAGCTGTTGCAAGCCGGTGGGGAGTGCTGACCCAGCCCACAACAGTTCACCAAGGCTCCCTAAGTGCCATGGGAGCAGTGGGGCTGGGATTCTGCTCCTTGGCGCTGCCACGTTTTTGGGGACGGACATCTCTCTATTACTCAGCAAGCTAAGATGGTGGCTCCATGAGTAGCTCCATGGGACTGGGTTTCCAAGGCTCCTGGAAAGCATGTTAGAGGCCTGGCTGCCTCCAAGGGAGCTTGAGAGCCACGGGGACACCCAACCCTCTCCCTAGCAAACAAGCGAGTTGTCCGCTTATGCTCCGAGGACACGTGCTCAGGCCTTCCCGAAGTCCACGACTGCTGCGATGCCTGCAAGGGCGGTCAGCAAGGCAGGGCAGCTGCATTCGGGAGGAGGGTTTGGGGGGCCGCAGTCTCCCTAGCGGGGCAGGGCTCGTCGCACGGCTCAGGACGGCGTGCTGGCCGTGCAGCGGGGTTTTCCTGCGACTGCTGTGCGGCCTGTAGCAACCCCCCCCCACACACACACACACTCCCGGGGGAGGCCGCAGCAGCTGGGGCCCCGGGGGGAGCTGCCTGTGGATCTTGTAACACTTCAGGAAGGCGAGTGCAGGTGGTCGGAGCCGAGCAGTGTTGCTTGGTTCAGGTGGGGGCCGCATGCCCCTAGGCCTCTTCCTCTCCCTCGCCTCCTCCCCCTCTCCGGAAACATCGTTGGGGGTCAGCCTTGGGGTGACAAGGAGGAGAGAGGCAATTTGCTGCTAGCCGTGACTCTGGCCCCGCGCCGCACTCGGGTCCGGGCGGGAGCGGCCCGGCCTCGCTGCGATTAGCTCCAGCTGGCTGGCGTTCCAGCCTCGCAGACAGGCGTCTTGCTCCCCCAAGGCTGGGGCTGGGGCTCTTCGGGGAATGCTGACGGGGAGGTTTGCCTTGTAATCCGCTCCAGGAATGTTGGCCAGACGGTCAAATTCTTCTCCCCTCTTGTAAAAATGAGTGATGTGGGGCGGCTCGGGGAGAACAGCTTGCCGTCCCTCCCCTGCCGGATAAACCTGCCCGGCCTGCACCGCCCCGTCATGGGAACAGGCCCTTTCAACCCGCGCCACGGTAAATACACGCCCGTGCCAAGAAAGGAGGAGCGTGCATGTGGGGGAAGGGGACTCTTCCCCTCTCTGGCTGGCCCTGATGGGAGAGGGGTTGCGTGGGAGGGTGGTGCATGCCTGTGGAGTTGGGCTCTGGGTGGAGGTTGCTGAAGGAAGTTGGCAGATATGTGGCCATTGCTTCCTCCCAGAACAAGTCCTGTAGGGACGTCTCTCTTCCCCTTCCGCTGGACAGCAGATGGGAGGCATCTCTAGTCTGTCGTGCTCTGTCCCCGAGTTATTACTTTTCTGGCTTTTTCCTTCCCACACCCTGACCTCATCTCCCAATGCTTGTTCTCCCTGCAGAAACCCTGATGGATACTAAGTGGGTGACATCCGAGTTGGCGTGGACGGCTCATCCGGAGACGGGGGTAAGCCTTGCTTCCTTGCTCCAGGCACTGAACGGCAAAGGGAGCAGCTAGTTCTGGTCCATTGTGCTTTGGACCATGCCTTATAGCTGCATCTTTTGGACTCTCTCGTGTTGCACGTCCTCTGCCTTGCAGAATTGCCTCTGGCTTTTCCAAGCCTGCCCCTAGGTCATGACCACTGGAGTCTGGCTCTCATGCCACACAGACTCAGGCCCAGGCCTGAAGAGCTGCCATGCTTTCAGGGAAGGTGGGGAAAGGGATGTATTCAAGGTGGCTATCATGGCTTCATGGTGGTAGGAGTGTGGGTGCGTGCTGCTGTAGCTTTGTTGCTAATTGCAGTGTCCTCCACCTACACATGTACCAGGTAAGTGCATAATTTGCTTAACCAGATAACACCGTTCCTGACCCAGTTCACTGACTATTGCTTCCATCCTAACAAACATCCAGTACCTGCATATTGGTCATGTGAACCACCTAAGGGCATGGCACTTTTCAGACCCGCTCTTAGCTTTACGATGCTGTTGTCCTACAAATAACGGCACAGAAATGGTGCCATGAAATGGCTGTCAGAGAGCTGCTGTCAGAAGCCGTGCAGTCTCTGGGAACTTGCAGCCCTGATGCTGCCTGTGTCTCCTCCTTTGCAAGGCTTCTAATAGCGTCCCTGAAGCTGAGGAGCATCTATCGTGTTCAAGGCTTCTGGCAGCAGCTGGCTATTAGAAGTCTCCAAAATGGTGGGAGGTAGGCTGTTGAGGCGCTGCTAATATTGCAGCTCTGACAGGGCTGTCTTCTAAAGAGCACCGCTTGCATTCATTTTGGACAAGCGCATGCTCTGGAGAAGCGCTTAGCTACTCTCGGGTCCTCTGGAGTACCTTGCAGTACATGTTCCCAGTGGTGTCTGGGTCAGAGTCCAGCAAAGGCTGCGATTTGGAGCCTGTCGACTGGCTGTCCCAGCTACTAACCCATTCGTCTCTCTCCATGGCAGTGGGAAGAAGTTAGCGGTTACGATGAAGCCATGAACCCCATCCGGACCTACCAGGTGTGCAATGTGCGGGAAGCCAACCAGAACAACTGGCTCCGGACTCAGTTCATTCAGCGCCAGGACGTGCAACGCGTTTACGTGGAGCTGAAATTCACTGTGCGGGACTGCAACAGCATCCCCAACATCCCAGGCTCCTGCAAAGAGACCTTCAACCTCTTCTATTACGAGTCGGATACAGACTCAGCTTCAGCCACCAGCCCCTTCTGGATGGAGAACCCCTACATCAAAGTGGATACAATTGCCCCCGATGAGAGCTTTTCCAAGCTGGAGTCCGGCCGCATGAACACCAAGGTCCGCAGCTTTGGGCCTCTTTCCAAGAATGGGTTTTACCTGGCCTTCCAGGATCTGGGCGCCTGTATGTCCCTCATCTCTGTCCGGACTTTCTATAAGAAATGCTCCAACACTATTGCTGGCTTTGCCATTTTTCCAGAGACCTTAACTGGGGCAGAGCCCACGTCCCTGGTCATTGCTCCAGGGACGTGCATCCCCAATGCGGTGGAAGTGTCCGTGCCTCTGAAGCTGTACTGTAACGGAGACGGGGAGTGGATGGTACCGGTTGGGGCTTGTACGTGCGCTGCTGGATACGAGCCGGCCAGTAAGGATACCCAGTGCCAAGGTAAGCACTTGCCTTAGGTGACTTCATCCGGTTCTTCTCTACTGGGGTATGAGCCTCCATGCAGAGGATTTGGGTACGTCTGCTGGGGTAGTTTTATAGAGGCTTCTGGAGATGCATGCTGTGTCCTGGAGATTTGAACTTCCGACCTGAATGACAGTCTGAGTTTTAGGGGTCAGCATCTGAGTGCCCGAAGTCACTCAAGCCTCTGAGCCCACACACGTTGCCTGGTTAATGCACACTGATTCTTTGCTAGTGCTCAGTGGGGTCTGTGACCCACACCTGTCTCAGGTGCTTGCTCTTCTCCTGGAGTGAATGCCATGTTGGGTCAGAGGTGAGGCCTGTTCTGGGACCACGGTTCTTGGAGTCCATCAGAGATGCAAACGTGTTGGCTGCAGATTTGGGTCTGTGAACCTCATTAAAAACAGCAGCTCTTCCATCCCCAGCCCCCCCGCCCCCTTGCAGCCCGCACACACCTGTCCCTTCTCCCCATCCTCTTCCTCACCCTTTATATAAAACCACCTGCAACTGGAATGAATTGTTTCTTCAGAAATCCAATTTCACATCGAGGTCGCCAAGGCATTCAGGAGGCCCCGCCGTGACTGGGGCCCCGCTGTGCAGACTGCTGTAAGAACCTGTACAAAGACTCGTGGGCCCTGCCCGATAGAGCAGACAATGGAAGACGGGAGAGGGGAGGGGAGGGGAGCTGTGGGGTCAGATGCACACGCACATGGAACTGCATCGTTAAGGAGGTGGCAGCTGATCCCACCCCTTCCTGGAGCTGTTGCTAATCAGCGTTGTGGCAGAGTTGGGTCTTGGAGGGTGGGTTGGTTCTGGGGGGGCATCCTGCGTATAAAGGGGGCAGCAAGGGGTGTATATAGCTGTGCAAGGCTGCATGTCACCATGGTCCTGGTAGCTCCCAGCTAGGCAGCCACCTTTGCCGTCCCTTCCGTTTTGTGGGCTGGCTGCTTCCCAGGGGAGGAGAATGGTCCAGGTGTCCAGAGAGTGCCCCCCTCGGTTGTGGCTCGTTACCCCCTAGAGTCACTCCTGTCAATGTGAACAGCCTCCAGAAAAAACAGCCAGGAGGAAGGCATGCTCTCCTGGGGCCTCTAGTTCAGGCACTGCTGTCTGCAGACCGTCCTGAGTTGCCAAGGATTTGGCTGTCCCTTTGTGTGGAGCTTTGTACCAGATGGTGAGAGGCCCCAGATCCAGGGATGGGGCAGGAAGGTGGATGTTGGGCCTTGGAGGGGTGCCAGGTAGGCATTGGGTCTTAAACATGTTGGGTTTGGTGACTAGATGGCTACAGAAAGTCTGGAGTCAAGCAAATGGCATTGGGTGAAGTGAGTTTGGGCTCTCGAAAGCTTTATGCATCTCTGATTTTAGTTAGTCTGTAAGGTGCATCCTAGATGGTTACATCCATCCGCGATTGATGGTCCTTGGGGCTCAGCAATCCTGGGGGCTGGATTAGTGGCAAAGGCACCACGTTCAGGCCAGTCCTTACACAGGCACCTGTTCGAGAGGGTGCTGGTGGCTGTGCTGGGTGAGAGGCCTGGAGTGGACAGACGTTCTTGTGGACCCTCGAGGAAAATGACAGTCACCTGTGAACACAGGAACTGTCCCCATGGGAAAGGGTCCGGATCCCTGGGGCCAGCTCCAGCTGAACTACCCCTTGTCCATGTTGTACAAGCCTGTCCGGACACCTTGGGACCGGCAGGGCCTGGTGTTTATCAAATAGGAGATTTCCTTTGCACTGAGGTCATCCCAACCTCACCCCACATTCCAGTAGAAATCCTGCTTCCAGGCAGGCCAGGAGCATCCTAGAGCAGTGGATCTCAGCCAGCAGGCCACGGAGGCCCTATGGGTTGGCTCTGTGGGGGCGTGAGGTTAGCTGACTCCCCACCCCCAAAATGGTCCTGGTGCCAGAGTGCTTTGCACGTACCAGCGAGGCAGCAGAGCCACCTTGGCGTGAGTCTACGGAGAGCTGATTTAACCCAGGCGCAGCCCTGCACATAAGTGGCTCTGGTACGTCCAGGGCTGGAGCAGCCTGGCACAGCACAGGGCACGGGTTAGACTACAAGGGTAGGAGGGATGAAGAGCTATTGCAAGGTGGGCTGGCAGGGACCACCCTCCTGGGCCATCAAGTCCAGTCCCCTGTGTTTGCAGGCAGTCGTTAACCAAAGGCATCCCCAAAATTGCCACTTCCAACCTGCGCCCACAACTACAGAACGGGAACACCAAGAAGGTGAGGGCACTGCCATTGGCCTGGTGCTGCGGTGTCAGGGAAGGAGGATCCTAGGAAGAGGGTCATGCCCTGCCCTGCAGAGGAAGGCAGAACCCTCCACAGTCCCTGGCAGGTTGATCAAGGGGAGTAATCCCTTCCTGACCCCAGGCAAATGAGGGTGTGTGCTGTAGGATCAAACAGGCCGAGGACTGGAGTCTTAAGAGCTGGCAGCTGCTGAGGCCGGACTTGCAGCATCTTTGGCACCATAGTCCCTGCATGGAGGTCTTGGGAAGATCTGGGTCCCTTAGCATTTTAGGGTGGAGGGTACATGTCCACAGGACGGGGTACAGAACCTGCCTGGCCGGATGGGGGGAGATGGTTGGTGTTGCTGTAGGGCACCGTGTGTGCAATAGGGAAGAGAGTCCAGGAGAAGGGGCTTGTCCAACTTCACCATTATAGCCTGCGGGGGGTATCCATCTGCGGACAGCTGACCTCTAGGGCCCCTGCTTAGAAGGGGGCCATTCGCTTGGTTCCCTGTTCTTGGCCCAAAGTCTGGGGAGTGAAGATGGGGCTGCCGGCTGCACCACGAACATGGTTTCCCCTGGATCCTGGGGGGTGTGAGCTCCATGCTGCGAGGCGGCAGGTTGGTGTCTCGCCTGGAAAGGAGCAGCCCCGCCGTATGCCGAGCTCAGAGATGCATTGTACCTCGAGTGGCTGGGGCTGCGGCTTCTTCGCTTCCCTTCATCGGCAACGAGTGGGAAGGTAATGGAGGTTCGCCCACGCAGCGTTCTGCAGGAGCGACCGACTGGAGCAGCCCGCGAGACTCCAGTGCCGTGTTGTGCCTGCAAGTGGCACATCTCGGGGGGGTGGGCATGGCCCAGGCCAAAGCCTTTGGCTTGGATTCAGGGCTGGGAGAGAGAGATTCCTCCGCAGACAGGCAGCACAAGGTCCGATCAGCAACAGTATTCACGGTGCCCCTGGAAAACTGCTCTTTGCCAAAGGAGGCCCCCCAGACACGGATCTCCAAGGTTGTGCTGAGTGAGCCCTGCTGGGGTCGTCGCCCCTCTCCATCGCTTCCTCGCGAAAAAAGTTGCTCGAGAGGTGGTCTCTGTCCTATCTGCCTTGCCTGCAGAGACCTGCTTTGCCCCAAAACCACGTCCCTCGCTGGGGACTCCTCCGCATCGCATCTGTCTGGTGTGCGGGTGCTTGAGAGGAACCTTTGCATTTCCCTAGGCAAGTCTCGTAGAGCTGGTGCAGCCATTTCTCTGCCAGGTGCTTGCGTGTCTAAATGGAAGCAGCTGACGGAGTTGGAGGGCCTGGGGAGCCTCCTCCATTTTTCTTGTCCCTTTACCAGTCGTTTTGCAACTTAGACTTTTTTTGTTGTTGTTGTCCTCTGCACAGTGGGAATTGTCTTGGGGGAACAATCAGGAAGCAATTGGCTGCTGTTTCTGCCTCGCAGGCAGCCGCACAGAGGAGCTGGCTTCTCTGCCGTGCTGCAAAAGCGGCCTGCGAGCAACTTGATCTTGGAGCGCGCCTCTCGAATCGGAGCATGCTGGCCCGACCAGGGAAGTGCTGCCCCGACGGGCCCTGTCAACACCGCAGCACCCTGCCCAAGGGAAAAGGGAGCGATGGATGCCCTCGGTACCCGTGCAGGGAGATGGTTACCCCCAGCTCCACGCTCCTCTTTGTGGCGGTGGCTGAGACGGTGGGCGAGGATGCCTCCCAAGTGCCAGATGGCATTTTAATAAATAACAATACCTAGTTTACTGCTTAGATGGGATAAGCCCAGTCTTAAATCCCACCGCTCCCATGACTTTTTCTGTCGCATTCAAAGATCTCCTCCTCCTCCTCTTTATCTCCACCCAGAGCCAGGATTAGACGCTGCATTCAGGCCTGCTACAATGCAGCTCGGATCCCAGTCCCTCGGGAGCCCAGGGCTCAGCCCGCCAGGCTCGAGCAGCGTCTTTGGCATGCTCTGTAATGCGATCCGTGAGCGGGTATCTGGAGCTCTAGTCAGCTGTTGCCACAGCATTGATTTGGCATCTCATTCTCAGGCTCATTTTCTTGATTTAATTAGCACGCAGCCCTTCTGGGGCTTGCGCCTCCCGCTGCTCTCCCAGGATGGGGAGCTGCGCAGGCAGCTCTCACGGGCAAAGGGAAGCTGCTGACCTGGGACTCAGCTGCCCGAGAGGTGCTGCTGCTTGGCCCCATCTCGCGTCTCTGGAGCTCGGTGGGGTACAGGAAGAGAGGTGCCCATGGGACCAAACCCTCTGGCTCACAAGGGGACACTCCCTCTGCTCTGCCCCAAACCAGCAGCATTGTGAGCCTGCAAATGCGAGGGCACTGGTGTACAGAGGCAGGACCGAGCCCCATGGCCTTCGTGTTTCACAGCTCCATCCTGCTGGGTGGGAGAATTGGAGGGTTCAAACTACCCCTGCTGGGCTCTTTCTCCAAGCCCAGGTGCTCGGCTGGGGCGCAGCAGCGTCCGGTATACAACCACTTAGCCTGAGATCCCTCTTGAACAGAGGCCCGGGGTGTGCCTCTCACCCAGCCTGAGCCAGCTGTGCCATGGCACTGCTGTAATACTTCTGCTTAACCACTGGCACCGGAGGAGCAGCAGCATTTGGGTCTGTGCTCGTTCATCTCCCTCTGCCTGCAGGGAAGCACCCCTTTGGGGGACAGCCTGCCTGGGGACACTTTTGGGGGACAGCCTGCCCGGCAGCTCCTTTGCGTGGCATTCATCACCCCAGACCAATGCCCTCTAGAGAGCCTGGCCCTATAC